CTTGTATAATACTCACATTACAACGTTTGTATAACAGTCATATTACAACGCTTGTATAAGTCATACTACACCGCCTGTATAACAGCCACATTACAACGTTTGTATAACAGTCATATTACAACACTTGTATAATAGTCACATTACAACGCCTGTATAACAGTCATATTACAACGTTTGTATAACAGCCTTATTACAACGCTTGTATAATAGTCATATTACAACGTTTGTATAATACTCACATTACAACGTTTGTATAACAGTCATATTACAACGCTTGTATAACACTCATGGTACAACGCTTGTGTAATAGTCACATTACAACGCTTGTATACCAGTCATATTAGAACGCTTGTATAACAGTCATATTACAACGCTTTGATAACAGTCATATTACAACACTTGTATAATACTCACATTACAACGCTTTGATAACAGTCATATTACAACACTTGTATAATACTCACATTACAACGTTTGTATAACAGTCATATTACAACGCTTGTATAATACTCACATTACAACGTTTGTTTAACAGTCATATTACAACGCTTGTATAAGTCATACTACACCGTCTGTATAACAGCCACATTACAACGTTTGTATAACAGTCATATTACAACCCTTGTATAATAGTCACATTACAACGCCTGTATAACAGTCATATTACAACGTTTGTATAACAGTAACATTACAACGCCTGTATAACAGTCATACTACAACGTTTATATAACAGCCTTATTACAACGCTTGTATAATAGTCATACTACAACGCTTGTATAATAGTCACATTACAACGCCTGTATAGCAGTGATACTATAATGCTTGTATAACAGTCATATTACAACACTTGTATAATACTCACATTACAACGTTTGTATAACAGTCATATTACAACGCTTGTAAAACATTCATATTACAACGCTTGTATAATACTCACATTACAACGTTTGTATAACAGTCATATTACAACGCTTGTATAATACTCACATTACAACGTTTGTATAACAGTCATATTACAACACTTGTATAATAGTCACATTACAACGCCTGTATAACAGTCATATTACAACGTTTGTATAACAGCCTTATTACAACGCTTGTATAATAGTCATATTACAACGTTTGTATAACAGTCATATTACAACACTTGTATAATAGTCACATTACAACGCCTCTATAACAGTCATATTACAACGTTTGTATAACAGCCTTATT